AGAAACATGGAGCCTTTCAGAGCGTCCATCAGTCAGGCTGTGGTCGCAGCGGCTGAGTGTTATCGTTTTCCTGGACAGTGAGCACTTGTGAGATCTTTTGGCTTTGACTACATGTGCTGTACTTTCACTGTGAACAGGATCAAAGGGACAAAGGGAAAAGGTTTTCACAACAAAACATTCTCACTTTGCTTTTAAACTTTAGAACAGTGCTGTATATATATATGTATATATATATAAAAAGACACTGACGGCAGGCCGACCTGTGCATATTTATAAGGCCCTTAACCCAGATCATGCTTTAGAATAAAAATGTGAGTTTAATAGGATTTTCACGTTCAGAATCTAAGGTTTGATTTTTAAAATATGATTGAAGTTTGATCAACGTAATCAAGTCTCATGGGCTCTGGCGCACATGGACACTTAACAAAAATTATGACATTTCAAATCAAACAGTCCTCTTCTAAAACCACTTAAAACTAGGTTTGATGTGAGACGAACCAACCTGCACTTCCATACTTCCATTATTTCTGTCATTAGTTTCCATATAAGTATGAGATATTGTAATTATAAAAGACTGAACTTTAGTAGTCTTCATGGTAGATTACTTGGGAGTAACATTATTTTTTCACGTTACAATCTACAATTTTTTTTTGATAGAACTGATGTTAGATATACTGATAAAGAGTATCTAAAGAAAACATGTCGTCAGGTTACAGTATGGGAAATGTAGGCTCCAGTGATTTTGGAGCTGGTCCCATATTATGGACTAAAAGTAAAGATATGATTTTTATCCCCCCTTTTTTTTATGTCTCTCACTAATACCCTGCCCTACTTTGGAAGTACAATACTAAATGGAGTTCCCCTTTGCAGATGTTCTTTGCAGACTGTGCAAGACACTAGTTAAAAGATAAACCTATAAGTCTTTTCTTATGCTACAAACACGTGGTCACAAACCAACTCTCATTGTGATGCAAATAAGGCCACAGGGAGGGAAGAGGAGGGGTGGTGTCAAAACACATACTACACATATTCGAACAGAAAGAGGACAGTGTGACAGGGAGGAATGTCGGGAGAGGAGAGGGCAGGGGTTTGAGGGTGAGTATGGGGGTGTGTAAAGGAGGGAAGGTTGGGAAGGGCTTCAGAGCAAAGGAAGAGGGTAAAGGAGACGACACCCTACGCTGTGTCTGCCGCTGCCAGACAGACAGTGTTGTCACCACATGGCCCAGGACCACAATCCTGCTGTATTGATTTTTTTTCTTTATCATTTTCACCGTTGAATGAATTCTCTATCCCCGGCTTTCCTCTACCTGTTTCCTTGTTCTGTCTTTTTTATTGCTATATGATCTTTTTCTATTTGATTTTGCTTCACCCTCTCTTTGTGCATGCTCTTTACCTTCAATGCATTTTAGTGCAGCTCATAAGACCTAAAGATGTGGTATTACATCACCATGGAAATGAAAGAAACACTTGCTGCACATGGCAAGGTCTGCTTTGAGCGCACTGATTGCTGTTCTTTAAAATAAAAGCTTTTGAACAAGGCCAAAATATACCAAGAGCAACCCCATCAGACACGTTTCTTGGTTACAGATGAATATGAGGACCATGTCTCAAAAATATTATCTTAATGGCAATAGACAACATTAGAACTGAAACTGACCAGAACTCAAGAGTTGTCCTTAGAGTTTGTTTAATTATGTATGTAAGTTATTAACATTTTGCATCTGGACACAGCCATTTGTAGTTAGGTAATTTATTTTAAATAAATAAATTTCTTTATTGTAGCCCTAAATTAGGAGAAGTGGCCTAGGCCTGAACTGAATACCTCACCTGCCTAAAACAACCTGAAATGTAATGTTCTCCCCGTGAAGACAGAGAGAGTCTAGTTTCCCATTTCTCCTGGCTGAGTGTGCCTTCTTATAATTTGGACTGTGGTAGCGCTTAATGTTGTTCTTAAACAGTGCTTAATGTATGAGAACAAAAGTCTGACCCTGCAGCTTTACCATCATTTTTGTTATTGTAGAAGGCTAATACTAAAGAAGTTAGCTACTTGCTAATGTTGGGTTTTTAGCACGCTAATGTCGGCTGTGGATCATTCATCACCCATGTTCGAATATTATGCTGAAGATTTATCTGTGCTGCTGCCAATCATCGATTTTATATAAACAACAACACCTGTTTCCTGTGTCTGTTTCTACTCTCTGACCAGAGGTGCTGTAGAGGATAAAGTGGTCCCAGCATTATACATCACAAACTCACAATCTTTAATCAAGGCCTCATTGCATAACACAGAAGAGTGAATATGTTCCAAGCTTTTATTTATTTATTTATTTTACAATATTACCTTATATGTTTATTTTATAAAATCTCTAATATGCTGAAGCAGCATTAGCTGCAGCCTCCACGTGGAGGCATCCGGGGGCTGAGCTGTTCTCTCACTAGAGGGCAGAGCTTGATCATTATGTGTCAATACAAAAAGCACATTTGAGGTAAGTGAAGAAAAGGGGATCAAGGCCTGGAATATTTCACATCTGTTGTATAATAATACTTTCATAAAGTGAGCCTGTCAGTCATTCGCTAGCAAACAACTTCAGCAAAGAAAGCCTTTACACAAGGAATCAAAAGTAAAGCTGAATTACAAACATTTATGGGAGTGTTTTAAAGTGTTTCCCTACTGTTTAAATCCGTCTGTTTTACTGTACTACTGCATTAACAGAAAAAAACCCTTGATGGGTCGATTTAAATAACCTCCAAGCTGAATTTCTTTCTGCTTGACAACTGTTTACAGTGTGCATGGTACAATGGTACGAATTAGTCACTGCTACTGATACTGACTCATAAACATTTGCTCAAGCAACAGATTTGAGCCAGCTGGCAGTTTGTCAAACATAAATGAATTGAATCAAATAAAACTATTAAAAAACATCATAAACCGCAACACAGCACCTAAAACAAGCTGTAACCTTCTACAACAGGTTCAAACTTTGCTGTATTCCCGATGCTTGAGTCTCCTCACATATTGACTGGGTGATGTGAACATTGAGCCACTAAAACTGTCTGGATCTTTACAGCAAAAAAAATGTACACACGTGCACACGAACTACAAATTACACAAAAGCATGTAGAGAATGAAAAGAGGAGGGTGACCCCCGGTTTTCAAATGCTCATTTTTGCTTTTCTGAGTGTGTGTAGCAGCCAGGTAAAACACCTCCTCCAGATGTTTTACCAGTGCAAACAGTATAACTCTGGACAAATTACAGCCTTCCTTTCCGACCGGCATTCTCACTTCTCTCTTGTCTTTACCATTTTGTCTCAATTTCTCAGCTCCCGCCAGTTTTTCAGTTATCTATCAGTTATTTATCTATCTTACAGTTCTGTATGATAGGCCTGCTTTTGATTACAACAATGCATTTGTTGTTTTTGTACTTGCTGTTTACTTTCATGTTTGCATTACAGGAGAACACTGCTGCACAGAATTGTTGGTAATTATGGATCCAAGCTTTGCTTTGCACAACCTGTGCTCCACTGACTCTTCTTTCCTTCGCATTTCCACCTCGATTCAATTCACTAACATCCTATTATGCTGATCAAAGCTCACATCATGAGCAATGAACACAATCTGACCTCTTGCAAAGGAGACTGTTCTCTTATCAGGCGGCTGCTCGTTGTGGATGCGTGATGTGTATCAGTTGACTTGGCTGGCACCACATAATGAGCTTGGCGATGGAGACTGTCATCTCTTGATAATTCCCTTGGTTCAAATCCTGTCAGTGATGAAGGCCACTGTCTTCTCCCCATGAAGCAAGACAGGGCTGCACACTATGTTATGAGCGGGAATTATTTTTATCTCTCGCATACAATAGATCCTGTGCTGCCACTTTGACATGAAAAGGAATCACATGGGTTAAAATAAGTGTACCACAAACACTCACATCTCATTATGGACAGGAAAACTAAAAACCCACTAGTCCACATTAAGATAAATGTGCCACTGTTCATTTGCAATCAAATATATGTTCATAAAATCAAGGATCCACCCGTTTGATTCTTTGTTGCACAGGAAAATAAAGCTGCATTTACATCCAAGGCCTTCGAATGGGAATAATCGGTCTTCAATGCAGCCTCTGAAGGATGCGGCCCCTGAACTGGGACACAGCTAATGTCTACCAGGGCAGTTTAAAGGTGGTGGAGTGTGTCTCCATTTTTTCGCAGAACACATTTTTGTCATGTCACAGCTGGTGTAAATAAAACAATTGGACAATGGCTGAATTCCATTTAGCTGCTTCAGTTACCGGGTCTCACCTGGTCTTGTGCACTGGCTCACTTGCCACACTGCCAGAACTTACTGGGACACTTGAACAAACACTGGTCATATCAGACTGGTGCAAAGGCCTACATTCAGGTGTTCATGCGACCTTTGATATTGAAAGTGATTGAAAAGTCTGTAAGATTCAATAAGGAAATTTTAAATGCACAGGTCCATGTGCATGTACTGTGTGGCATTGGGTTTACTTTTAGTCTATCCATGTATCAAACTGTATTTCCTCCTGTAAGAGAATAGGATGATATATATATATATATATATATATATTTCCTCTTGTTTGGTTGCTTTGCTGCATGATTAAGTTAACAAGTGTTTTGATATTTAAAAAAAAAAAAAAAATAGGTCACGGAAAATTCAGCTGAGGAATTTGTGAGTAATCTTTAACCATAACAGTGAGCTTAGCTTGACAGGACTGGGTGGAGTCCAGCGCTGTGGATGGGGCCTTATACCTGCTCCTACTTTCCCGGGGCGGGGGTGTAAGCTGCCGGTGACACTCGGGGCTCCACCTCCTCCCGGGCGGATGAGCCCTCTACTGTAGGCTGCACACCGGACACCCAGCTCATACAGGCGGTGCAGCCGGACGGTGTGCAAGCCGTAGAGTGTGTATGTGTATGTGTACGTGTGTGTATATATATATGTGTGTGTGTGTTATATGTGTGTGTGAGGGAGAGAAAGAAAGAAAGCGAAAGAGAGAGGAAGTTTGTGTGTCAGTGAGCGAGAGAGGGAGGGAGTCACAGAGAACTACCGAGCAGGTGAGCTCTTCATCTAATCTTCCGTCTCTGCTAACACTTCAAATCCAATAACGCAAAAACACCATTGTAAAGTGTGTTAACCACAATATTCCTACAGGGGTGGTGAATGTCTGCAATGTATGGCGAGTTTATATGAACTTTGTGTCGTTACTTTAGCCCGTTATCGCCCGTGGTGCTGCTGTAATATTCATGTATATAATGAGGTTAAAAATGTGGTTTGTGGGGTTTTTTTTTCTTCTTTCTTTTTTTTTATGCTAGGCTAATTCAACTTTTGAGCTTTTAGCTTTTCACGTTTAAAAAGAAGCGTTGCTCCTTTGCAAGACTTTTATCCAAATAAATACAAATGCGCAAACTCTCGAAATGAGACGGTTATTTTTTACATATAACTACACGTAGAGCCACTTACATGAGGCACGAGGGATGCGTGTGTTTTTAATGGGAAATCTGAGGTCACCTAGGCAACAAGACATGTAAAGCTTTAAGTCTTCCTCTACTCAAGAGTGTGTTCTTCTTATTGTTGATATGATGTTTGGCCTTCTCTGTGCAAAGTGCTGTACTGTGTGCAGTCACTAAATGTCTGTTGTGCATGTAGTTTTCTCTGTGCTTACTTTAAGTGCAGTTATGATCCAGTGTCCAGCCTTTATCTTACAAAAGAGTGATGCAAGTGCACACACAAGTATGGACTTCCCTGTGGGACTTTTCCAGTAAGAGAAGTAGGAGACATCATGATCCAGTAGTTGAATATTTTAAATGAAAAATATTTGAATATCAAGAGTTACTGGATTTTTGAATGAGGGAGAAGGAGTTAAATTCCACACAAGTTGTTTTTATTTATGTAAGATCGTTTTTAATGGAGGGGATCTTAAATGGCAAATGAGTTTTTAGACCAAATCAAAGCAAAAGTTAGAAAGTAAAACATTAAATATCAAAAGTTGTCTCAGACTTGTGCTGAAGAAACGAAAAGAGAAAGTTGAAGACTTTGTGTGTGTGTGTGTGTGTGTGTGTGTGTGTGTGTGTGTGTGTGTGTGTGTGTGTGTGGAGGTAGGTCACTACTGGCTCGGAGGCAGATTTGTGACACTGTTGCACACATTCCTACCAGATTAACCAGCGGTACAGATTAATGGAGAGCAGAGCTCAGATTCACCATTATTCACCATGATATGAATAATGTTTCGATGTTCGCTGCTTCATCGACGTGTTGTGTCGTTTCTACAACAGTTGGTTCCCTGAGATCACACTAGGTGACAGTAAATATCTCAATGTAACCTTGAAAAGTATGCTGTCCTAACTGGAGGGGGGCGGGTGGGTTCTTGAACAGTGAACAGTTTTATTTTTTACCTTACTATTCAACTTCTACTGCTTAACCTTCTCCTTTGAATTCAAGAATTCCACTTTGCTCTTTCTTTCTTTTCAGCAGCTTGTCAGGGTATTTAGACATGTGTGTGTTGGGAGGTGCATGTTCTCATGGCCCCTGTAGGCTTAGTCCAGCTTTAATCAGCTCAAGGACCTGGCCTCTCGCCCCACCGCTGAGATCAACTCTAACCTGAGGGGTTAAGAGGATCCACGAGTCGCTGCGGTCTGAGCGGGTTGGGGGCTGCGTTGCCTCTCTATTAATTGATTATCAATAGACCAATATATGGTTTTGATTAGGGCTGTACAATATTGGAAAAAAACTGATATTGCAATATCTTTTTTTATCCACTATATATATTACAACATAATATAAACCTTTCTTCATTTTTCTTTTTGCAACCAAATTTTCCTTTTCTTTGTTTTTCTCCTGTTCCTCGCTCATTCTGACGCTGTTTTTGGCGACCAACAGGGACGAGGCCTGCCAGCTCTTCATCTACTAATGATTGTGATTGATAGCTCAGTATGCATGCAGAGCCTGCATGTCACTCATTAGCAACAAACTGTGTAATGAAGCCTTAAATCAGAGTAGAATATTTTATATCAGACAGACTTCTCTTATAAATTAGTCACCGAAACTGAGAACTGTTTAGTCTAATTGACGTTGCACATATCAATGATGGTGCTTAAACTATATATTGTGCAGCCCTAGTTTTGATGATACACTGTGATGACATATACTGTGGTAGCTGTACATCTTCTTAAGTATCAGGTGTGAGCAGGGCTCAGTTCCTGACATGACAGAGGTACAAATGTCTTTGTGATGGTGTTTTCAGACGCTCCTGCTGGTTTTCTTTACACTGTTTACAGTGTGTAAAAGGATAGTGGTTCTTTTGTTGCTCTTGCACAAATAGCCGTAGTTATTGGGGAAGGGTGTTTTTAAAAAAAGAAAACAATTTTTGAATCATGTTTTGTTTTGAGTTTATGTAGTGAGAAAAAAAAAACAAAATCATAAATCATCCATAAAATTGAAATAAATATTGGATAATCTATAGATCAGGAGACATCTCTCTGCCATCGGCCACCTTTCACTCTGTCACTGAGGCTTTGATATCTGAGCCTGTGTCAGGGCCTCTGCAGGCTGAGACGCTCATAATCACGTCCCCTGACACAAAACAGCTCCTTCTTTTCAGCACACTGATTTCAAAGAGGGGCTGATTACTGCTACTCCTCCTGTCTGTCTCTTTTGCACTTGTCTTCCTGTCTTAAGGTCAGGAGATCTACAGATTTTCTTTTATTTATATATAATTATTAAGTGTAGAAATGAATAAAATACCTAAACTAATGACTCCATATTGTTAACTTAAACTAATCACCAGATAAATATTTTACAACGTCTTAGCTTTTATGAAACTATTACCCTCAGATATTTTATATTTTTGTCTTAATTACTGATCATTATAATACATTTTTCTGATTGATTGATGTTATTGTTTGGATCATCTGATGTCGACCATCTTTGTATCTTAAATCAGCTACATGCTTGCAGCAATATTACAGATCATCGACAAGTGGCCATGCAATTGCATCAGACACTGGGTAGCAACACTCATCAATCATTAATTTATCTTCATGAATCCTCTGAGAAGAAGAGGATTTGAAAAATGTTTCTAGGAATTTCTCAATGTGCCAACCTCTGTATGTCTTTTTCCCTCCGTGGCTCTACACAAACACTTCAGGTTAAGAAAGAATGTGACAGAGCTGTGGGTTTTTATGGCTGTCAACCTCTCTGATGAGCTGTAATCATCACCATGTACTCTCAGGGTGTAACATACATCTCAGCCTCTCTCCTGCACACACTTACACACAGAGAGTGGAAATTTACACTGGAAATGGCTGTCTCATCAATAACAGGAAATGCAATTTCCTTACATGTTACTGAAAAAGAAGGCCAATTATCCTGCTTATCTTTTGTAAAGGCAGGAAGCACTGATTGCCCCTTTGCTTTTGTTGTTTCAAGTACAGAATATAAGTGATATGTAAGTGTCAGTACGAGCGATGTCACGATACCAGAAACCTGACCATGCACCTGCTAATGTTGGTGGGCACCCACCTCACGTTATGAGCTGTCCCTATGTTAGCCTAAACAAGCTAATGTTAGCCCTTGTGAACATTGTGTGTGGAGCTTTGCTGTAACAGATGCCAGCTGTTACATAATTCACAAACAACAACAGCAACATGTCAGGGCATGAACATGTTGACGACATGTCCATATAAAATTAGCAACTGAAACTCACTCACCCTGAGCTCTGCCTGCAGATGCCGATGTCTGTCTTTGAGCTGCTTAGAGAAGTTTGAGGGCTTTCCTCCGATGGTGCAGTTTGCATACCGGCTTTTGGTCGTCTATAACTCGTCCTCGTCCTATAGCGTGTACCATTAAGGCAGCGGCCATGGGTTCGAATCTGACCTGCGGCCCTTTGCTGCATGTCATCCCCTCTCCCTCTCTCCCCAGCTTTCCTGTCTCTCTTTCACTGTATCTAGAAGAAGAAAAAGAAAATGTTCAGTGTCCCAAGAGGGAAACCTCCGTGGTAGATCAGAGTAAAGAAGTGGATGTAGTATTTATATAGCTGCCATTTCTCACGGAAAATCCTTGCATTATGTGTGCTGACAGATGCCTATCAACCTGTGGTGTGTAGAAAAAGGGAGCTTTGGAAATGAGAATGCCCATCTTATAAGCTGTGACCTTATTAAGCAGTGTACCAGTGATTTCCCTGGACCGTGGCCCCCACAGGACCTAGTGCTGAATCAAACCCAGAGTCGCCCTGTTCACCTCCACCTCTCACCTACTGATTCTCTGGCTTTCTAGTCCAAACATGAATGTGGTGATTGTGTTGGTTGGTGTGTGTCTGCACTGAATTTAATCACCTCAAAACCTCCTCATTGGCTACAGTCTGGTCATGTCCTTGCATGAGCTTTTGTCGGCCTTGCAGGTGTGTCTCGCTAGTTCATAGTTAATGATTAATTTTTATGATGAAAAAAGATCCTTGATGACAAAGCTGATTTCAAAGGAGATCCGAGTGTTGTTGCTTTGAAGAAGAGAGCATAATATAGGTATTAAACTGTACCGGTTGTATATGAGCAGGAATGCACCTACACACTTTCCATCGTGTGTGTGTGTGTGTGTACGTGGTGTAGAACAAAGGCTAAGTGAGCCCAGTAGTAGTAGGTATTAGATGTGTTTTATTTTTTTTAGGTCTGGGTCAGTAGCAGTGAATGTGCATCTCACACAGGAAAATTTAACTCTTTATCTGAAATCTTAAAATGCTGAATTACCTTTGATGGTAATCTTCCTTTTAACGATAAGATGCCAGCAGAAATGAAGCAAATATCCACATAGTATTATGAGATTTCCTACGGCTCCACGCGCGATGATCTGATGATGTATGTAGTGGATTAGGAAGTTGTTTCAAGGGAAGACGTTTCCTTGTTTGCCACTATGGTTAAACTGAATCCCTCCAGTTGAAGATGTTGTGCTTGGGTGGTCTGTTTCTGTCAAATCAAGCAGATATTTGAATTGTTGACTGGTAGAGAGTTACCAGTTACTGATATTAGTTCACAGATGTTTCTGTAGGGTTGCTTTAATCTGATGT